CATTGTAAAATGACTATAACTCAATTAAAAAATGTTTATATATAAGAAGAAAAAAAAACAAAACAAAAAAGAGTAGGAACCTTATGAGGTATGTAGTGCAAATGTCTCTATGTTTTAATTCAGAGGCTGTCCTGTGCTTAGATTATCCCTCCTCTGGCAAGTCTCACGCAGGACAAAACTGATAGAGAGTACTGGTAGAAGGGAGAAGATGCCTTTAGCTCAGCTGAGTCTTATCTGCTGAAAAGATTTTTAGATGTCTCCAGCTTTACCCCCACCATTGTGTTAGGTGGATCAATGACGGCCAAGTAGAAAGATGGGAGTTATGATACTGTTTGTTCAGATTCTTACCTAGCTCCAGGTGAGGTTCAGCCTTTAGCTTCTACATGTTTTTCTTTCCCTTGCACAAAGGTGCTCTGGCCAACAAAGTGAAGAGGAAGGATACACTGGCAATGAAGTTGAACCACAGACCCAGCGAACCAGAGGTGATCACGGATTCTTGGCCTCGAAAAAGCAAAGAGGAGTGGAATGAAATACGGCACCAGATTGGGAACACTCTGATCCGGTAGGTCTTTGCGTAGAATAAATTGATTTGATTTGATTATGCCAATATGTGTGTTAGAGATCTACTTTGTGCTGGAATATTCATTTAGCCTTTTTTTTTAATTTTAGAAATAGCATAATTTTTAAAAATATGTATTGTACACAGTTGGGGTATCTTTTCTAAGAATTTGGAAATTAAGTAACTAGATGGCTCCTAGAACTTTAAGCCATGACATAGACGTATCTCACAGCTTTACACCATAAGATAGACATAAATATGTTTTTTTTAAGTTTCTAGAGAATTCGGGTGGTTCCCAGGACAGCAAGCCTCCTCTGGCATTTATCCGGTTGCTCAGCCATGAGGTACCAGCCCAATTCAAGATCACACCCATATTTTCCATTGTATCTATTTTACATGTTCCATGTAACTGCCTCGTTTCAAAGTGTTAGTATATTTTTGAAGTCAGCTGGAACCAAAAGCATAGAGAAAGTGAATGCAAGCCATCTTCCTGCCTATAGAATACATGTAGAATCCAGGTACACAGACAGGTGTTTGCAACCTCAAATGTTTCTCTTGGTAGAGTGAGGAAAAGGAGGTGGAATTCTTGACATATTCCTTAAAAATAACTAACTAAGGATGTCTGCTAATTAAAATATATTCTCCTCTCTTGCCTCAGACACCTGGCTTTGCTGTTGGCCAAGATGACAATCTATTTTTTTTATTTTATGGCGTTGACAATCTTAATGCAGAACTGTGGCCTTCTGAATGTCAGCAAGAGACCATCAAGATTAGGAATTAGTTAAGAATGGATTTTTTTTTCTTCTAGTTTTATTGAGATATATTTGACATACAGCACTGTATAAGTCTAAGGTATAGAGCATAATGATCTGGCTTATATATACATCATGAAATGATTACCACAAAATATTTTTTCCTTGTGATGAGAACTCTTGGGATTTAGTCTCTTAACTTTCATATATAAGGTATATGTTAATTATATTAATTATGTTATTTATTACATCCCTACTGTTTATTTATCTTTCACTGTAGATTTGTACTTTTGACCACCTTCATCCAATTCACCCTCTCCTACCCCCTACCTCTGGTAACCACAAATCTGATCTCTTTTTCTATGAGTTTGTTTTTCGTTTGTTTGTGTTTTAAAGTATAATTGACCTACAACACTGTGCTGGTTCCTGGTACACGACATGGTGGTTTGATACTTGTGTACACTGCAAAATGACCACCACAATGAATCTAGTTACTGCCTGTCACCATACAAAGGTATTACATTATTATTGACTGTATCCCCCACGCTGAACATTTCATGCAAGATTGGGTGTCTTTCATAATAGATTGCTTTCTGCTTTACTGCAAAGCTAGTTGTTCATCTCTGAGTGTTTTTTCCAAGTCATAATCTTTTTGGAAGAGCTTGTTGGACACTAGCAATGAACAGTCTGAAACTGAAATGTAAAAATATAAGAGATTACCATTTACAGTAGCATCAGATATCTTTAAATATTTAAGGATAAACCTGGCAGAAGATTGTGTAAGACCTGTACACTGAAAAGTAT